GTGATATCATTACAGCTGTATGGTGGACAAAGATGATATCATTACAGCTGTATGGTGGACAGAGATGATATCATTACAGCTGTATGGTGGACAGAGGTGATATCATTACAGCTGTATGGTGGACAGAGATGATATCATTACAGCTGTATGGTGGACAGAGGTGATATCATTACAGCTGTATGTCGGACAGAGATGATATCATTACAGCTGTATGGTGGACAGAGGTGATATCATTACAGCTGTATGGTGGACAGATGTGAAATCATTACAGCTGTATGGTGGACAGAGGTGATATCATTACAGCTGTATGGTGGACAGAGGTGATATCATTACAGCTGTATGGTGGACAGAAATGATATCATTACAGCTGTATGGTGGACAGAGGTGATATCATTTCAGCTGTATGGTGGACAGAGATGATATCATTACAGCTGTATGGTGGACAGAGATGATATCATTACAGCTGTATGGTGGTTAGAGATGATATCATTACAGCTGTATGGTGGACAGAGATGATATCATTACAGCTGTATGGTGGACAGAGATGATATCATTACAGCTGTATGGTGGACAGAGATGATATCATTACAGCTGTATGGTGGACCACATATGTATGGTGGACAGATAATATCAGCTAGAGATGATGTCAACGATATATACATATACATATACAAATATAACAAGTTTCTTAATAATAGGAACATACAAACATGTACAGTTAAATAACTTGTTCCCATTCCTTACAGCAGGTTGGACTGAAATACCCTAGCCTCAGATCTTCATTGACTGACTGGCACTTGTTCTTTGACTGACTGGCACTTACTCATTGACTGAGTGGCTCTCCTTCATTGACTGACTGGCACTTGTTCAGTGACTGTCTGGCACTTGTTCATTGACTGACTGGCACTTACTCATTGACTGAGTGGCTCTCCTTCATTGACTGACTGGCACTTGTTCATTGACTAACTGGCACTTGTTCATTGACTGACTGGCACTCCTTCATTGACTGACTGGCACTTGTTTATTGACTAACTGGCACTCCTTCATTGACTGACTGGCACTTGTTCATTAACTGACTGGCACTTGTTCATTAACTAACTGGCACTCGTTCATTGACTAACTAGCACTTGTTCATTGACTAACTAACACTTAAAGGCTGATGTTGTCAAGGGCACACCTACTGATGCTACTGCCCAGAACATTTTCCTAGAACTGATTTTTAGACTTGGTCAAGGATTTTAATCGATGACAGCTACCAGCACTAATCATTAGCGGTTACTTTACAAGAAATTCAATCCCCTAATTAACTGATTTTCTCAGCTGAAGAAAATATATTATAGCGTCAATATTTTTGGAAAGGCATTATTTAATCATTAACAAGTAGATATGAAATCATAATAGTCAGGATAAGAGGCATAGAGGGTTCATTAGGAAAACAAATTCAGCTTATGAACCGACATGGACAAAAATCCGTTTTCTGATATTTCAGCAGTTAAATGGATTTCTAAACGAGTCAGACTTACGACAGTGGAGCCACACTTACAACAGTGGAGCCACACTTGCAACAGTGGAGCCACACTTACAACAGTGGAGCCACACTTACAACAGTGGAGCCACACTTGCAACAGTGGAGCCACACTTACAACAGTGGAGCCACACTTGCAACAGTGGAGCCACACTTACAACAGTGGAGCCACACTTACAACAGTGGAGCCACACTTGCAACAGTGGAGCCACACTTACAACAGTGGAGCCACACTTACAACAGTGGAGTCAGACTTGCAACAGTGGAGCCAGACTTACAACAGTGGAGCCACACTTACAACAGTGGAGCCACACTTGCAACAGTGGAGCCAGACTTACAACAGTGGAGCCAGACTTACAACAGTGGAGCCAGACTTACAACAGTGGAGCCAGACCTACAACAGTGGAGCCACACTTACAACAGTGGAGCCACACTTACAACAGTGGAGCCACACTTACAACAGTGGAGCCACACTTACAACAGTGGAGCCACACTTACAACAGTGGAGCCACACTTACAACAGTGGAGCCACACTTACAACAGTGGAGCCACACTTACAACAGTGGAGCCACACTTACAACAGTGGAGCCAGACTTACAACAGTGGAGTCAGACTTACAACAGTGGAGTCAGACTTACAACAGTGAAGCCAGACTTACAACAGTGGAGCCACACTTACAACAGTGGAGCCACACTTACAACAGTGGAGCCAGACTTACAACAGTGGAGCCACACTTACAACAGTGGAGCCACACTTACAACAGTGGAGCCACACTTACAACAGTGGAGCCACACTTACAACAGTGGAGCCACACTTACAACAGTGGAGCCACACTTGCAACAGTGGAGCCACACTTACAACAGTGGAGCCACACTTACAACAGTGGAGCCACACTTACAACAGTGGAGCCACACTTAACAACAGTGGAGCCACACTTACAACAGTGGAGCCACACTTAACAACAGTGGAGCCACACTTACAACAGTGGAGCCACACTTAACAACAGTGGAGCCACACTTACAACAGTGGAGCCACACTTACAACAGTGGAGCCACACTTACAACAGTGGAGCCACACTTAACAAAAGTGGAGCCACACTTACAACAGTGGAGCCACACTTACAACAGTGGAGCCACACTTACAACAGTGGAGCCACACTTACAACAGTGGAGCCACACTTACAACAGTGGAGCCACACTTACAACAGTGGAGCCAGACTTACAACAGTGGAGCCAGACTTACAACAGTGGAGCCAGACTTACAACAGTGGAGCCACACTTACAACAGTGGCTAGTATTTTTGCCTTCTGAAGAAATGGGCATGTGATGGAACCCCTAGAGGTGAAAGCACTTTTACCTCTGACCCACTGGCCATATTACTGAACACCCCCCCCCCCCCTCTCCCCCACCACCACTTGTGTGGGTACCTATGTAGACCTAGCTTGAAATGATTGTAATCATCATCATGTACCATGACAGTAAGCACTGGTTATCAATCATGTCATCTCACATCAATATCACTGATCATGTCAGTGCTCTTGTCAGTGCTCTTGTCTCACCCACCAATTTTCTAAGCCATCCAGGTATACTACCACCCCCCCCCCCCCCCCCCCCCCCTTTTATTTTTCATTCCCTGCTCACTTTGTCCACAAATCTTGCCAGTTGTAATCAAGTTCTTAAGCGAATTCCCTTCTCATAGCATTTCTGAAAAGCATTGACTGTCCCTGAGGAATTGCTCTCACTAGCTTGAAAAGACGACTGGTTCGATAAAGAGCTTATGATCTACTGAGGCCTGATGGTCTTTAGAAACTATACACCAAGTATGCCTTAAGACCAGGATAAGGGTTTTACTGTTAGAATATTATAAAGATTATTTGCCACATTTGTTTTTACAAGATTCCCTTTATTTCTAAACCATTCAATAATGTCTATAATATTCACTGCATTTCTATAATAATCATTTTATTTCTAGAACATTTGCTTTATTGCTGCAACATAATAAGGTTTAATAACAATTATTAACGAAATGAGCAGTCTTCTCCAATCTTTTATTTCAGAAACATACAGTAATTGCACAAATAGCTATTGCACATTCCACAGAACAGAAAACTGGATATTTATTGGCTGTGGTACATAATACAGTAGGAATCCATCATGGCTGCCTCCTCTGCCCAACACTGATGAATGTCTTCTTAGAAAGAGTGAAGACTGAGCACTAGAACAACAGCATGGAACACTTAGTGTAGGATGTTGAACTATAACAATTTTAGGGTTTGCAGATGACATCGACGAGTTTACCGGGGAAGAACAAGAGTTAGTCGAGCTTGTAAATCTACTCGATCAAACACTGACTGAGTAAAGCATGGAAATATATATTTTAAAAAAATAAAAATAAAAGTAATGACTAATAATCCAGCTGGCATAACTTCACCAAAGTACATTGAAGGTCACAAATTAGAACAAGTCAATCAATTCAAATATTTAGGTGACCTGGGGTCAAGACCATAAATCATGTCTAGGATTGCCCAGACAACATCAGTCCTTGCCAAGCAGCAAACTTTATGTGGATCCAAAAACATTTCATGCAAAACTACGATTGGACTGTTCAGAGCACTATTAGTACTTTTGCATGTGGTTGTGAAACGTGGACCTTTACATACAAGCATTAGAAATGTGATGTTTCACACAAATTCTTGGCTTATCATAACAGTTAGTTGCGTATCCTTTACAGGACGTTGCAGAACCAACCCTAACAGCCCCTGGATGTTGTGTGGTTTCTCTAGGCAATTTACATCCAGTAGTTTGCCATTGCTTTCTGGACGGTCGGCTTTTTTGATACCACTGTCGAAACCAATGCAAGGCGCATTGCCCGCAGCTGGGATCGAACCTGGCATCCCGGTATTACGAAGCGAAGCGTTCGCATCGACTTAGCCACAGAGCCGATGGCTTATCATATAGAAACCAAATTAAGAAGTTCACCATATAATTATACATCACATTTGCAACTATGAACCTCTTTTAAATACAGTAAAAAAGCGAAAAAAGCAAAAGTATGAACATGTAATAAGATCTAACAGCCTCTCAAAAACAATGCTGCAGGGCTCAGTAGAGGGAAAGAGGAGAAGAGGCAGACCAAGAAAGACCTGGTTACAGAACCTGACTGACTGGACAGGCTTCAGGCCATGCAACCATGAAGTCCATTGTAACTGACCGCCAAAGGTGGAGAGAGCTGATCAAAAATTCAACAGAAGCAGGTGACCCAATGACACACAGTGTTTTGGTATGATGAATGAATGACATAATAAAGTTCATATTTATATGAAAAACTGCTCACGGAAGTATGTAATAACAAACAAAATATTGCAAACAATGCACCCTTTTGCGTAGAATAAATAATATTATATATTTTTTATGACACAGCTGTGAAAAATATCAATATTTCATCAAGCATTTAGAAATGGAACATCTGTCTCACTTTAAAGGTTCATGTTTTTTAATCTTTGGTTGACTGAACTTCTCACAACGTCTATTGTCTTGTAAGGATCGATGTTTACATTTGTTGCCTGAAAGAAAAAGATACCATAATATGTGAGAGTTGCCAATTTCAAGATATGTTAACTAATTATTGCAATAGTAAACCTATTACACTAATTACTATAATTTTAACTATGCAATGATTAAAAAGTTCAGTAACTGTGTAAAGATTACAAAGTTCAGTAACTATGCAAAAATTACAAAGTTAGGTAACTAAGTAAAGATTAAACAGTTTAGTAACTATGTAAAGATTAAAAAGTTCAGTTATTATTTAATGATTACAAAATTAAGAGCTTTTTACAGATTACAAAGTTCAGTAGCTGCATAAAGATTATGAAGTTTAGCAACTATGTAAAGATAACAAAGTTCAGTATCTATGTAATGATTACAAAGAAATTATGTAAAGATTACAAAGTTAAGTAACTATGTAGATATTACAAACAAAAGTTAAATAACTATGTCAAGATTATAAAGTTTAGGAACTATGTAAAGATTATCAAGTTCAGTAACTATGTAAAAGTTAAAAAACTAATTAAGTATGTAAATATTACAACATTAATATATAAAGATTAAAAAGTTAAGTAACTATGTAAATATTAAAAGGATCTTATTAATTACAAGACAGAACAGTTAGTTATTCAAGATATACATTAATGACTTAATGTAGCAACTTCAGTGTTATTTCTATGTTTGAGCATTGTTATTGTGTTTTGTTTCTTGTTGTAGTTTGCTAAATAATGCCTGCCAGGTTTCTGTTACAGACTTGCCAAGCAAATGATACGGAATGCCTGTTGAAGCTGTGTTTGTGTTAACATTGAGCTATGATGCTAGAACCATATTTTTATAGGCCAGTTGGCACTGGATGAGCACTACAGTCAACATCATGCTGGCTACCTTTACTTCCCAGGACTTTCCCTTTTACCCACAGATCTTTTGTGAACATTAAAACATTACATTCTGAGAGCACCTCCAAAAGAACTGATAAGACTGGGAAAACTTAAAACGTGTATGAGTTTTACAAAAACCAATCATAGATAATAGATAAATAAAGTAAGCGGTCCTGTAAAGATGACGAATACTTTATTTTTCCTATTTATTTTTTTAAAAACTTTGCTGCAGTAATTTTTTTTTTTTTTTAAAGAAATGATCTTGTGTTAACAGGAAACTTACCAAGAACATCTCAAAAGAACTGATATCAGAACGTATGTCTGTGACAAAGCCCCTAGTGATGACCCGAGCATAGATGGGCAACTTTCCTTCTGGTGTGTCCTGTAATACAACATGAACATTATTTATTTCTCACACATAAACCTCAGTTTGTAGACAACACAAACCCTAGTTTGTAGACAACACAAACCTCAGTTTGTAGACAACACAAACCTCAGTTTGTAGACAACAAAACCTAAATGTGTAGACAACACAAACCTCAGTTTGTAGACAACAAAACTTCAGTTTGTAGACAAAAAAAAACTTCAATCTGTAGGCAACACAAACCTTAGTTTGTAGAAAACCAAACGATCTGTGGGTAAAGACCAGCTTTAGCTTGTAGATAAAACAATTTTCATTTTGTAGACAACACAACACAAACATCCATTTATAAATGGCACAAAACAAAATAATAATAATACCATGTATGGATCTGATTATTAAACAGTATATAAACAATATCAAACATCAATAAAAAGCTAATATTACATGGGAAAAGATTTGCACAATCATTCTTGTTTACATCTTCTTTAATAGATAGAAAGTCAAGCAAGGGCGGACTCAGTTGCTTGGTATGTGATGTTGTCTTCTTCTTCTTCTTTTTCTTCTTTTTCTTCTTCTTCTTCTTCGCGTTCACCAGCTGTACACTCTGGCAGAAGGTTCTGGTTGCTCGTCCACTACTGAACTGCAGTCCTGCTCCAGAACCTGAGTGTTGCGGGTGCATCAGTTTTACAGATCTCATTCTCTTGAATAGACTGTTGGTTCCTTGCCTCTCCGGCAGATGCACTCCGACTTCAAAGGAAGTTCACCAATTAGTCGACTCTTACGACATGCTTTTGGGGAGGCAGTGGGTCTATTCTTGTTTTCCCCACAATGGGGCCCTGAAACCCACACGGGGGATGTGATGTTGTGTGGTCTCAGGCTGTCAGTGACTCTTTCAATCCGGCTTGTACGATTATAGGATTTTAATAAATATATAGACAGCAGGCTACCCTAATCCACTGTTAGGATGGAATGCTAATCCTACTCTTTTATTCTAATTCAATTTGTGTGTCATATACCGATATTCCCTGTGTTTGTTCCAGGGCCCCACTGTTGGGAAAACAAGAATAGACCCACTGCCTTTCTAACAAGCATGTCATAGGAGCCCACTAATTGAGGGCATCCTTCAGAGTACATATGCTGGAGAGGCAAGGAACCAAAAGTCTGCATACAAATATGCCAGATGTGTGAAATGAATGTGCAGGCAACACTCAGGTTCTGGAACAAGATAAAATCTTGAGGTGAGGGCACACCCACAACTTTCTGCCAGAGCTTGAAGTCAGGTGAACATGAAGAAGATATACTAGTATTATAGTAGGTAATGTGCTAGTAAATCCTTTGATGGTGTTATTCAATAATCTTATTATGGTAGTTTCCCATAATAGTATTATATACTAATGCTATGATATTAAAGTTAAACACAAACTAACCCACACACACACACACACACACACACACACATAATTGACATTCGTAATGCCTTGAGGGTGTTGAGGTCCATATCACATGACTGCCTTTACAAGCCAGAGCATTAACTAGTATTAATTTTAAACTACATCAACTTGAGAGCTTAGGTCAATAGGATACAGTGTTCATACAACAATTTCACCTGATTGGAGAAAAAGATGTCACATAATTTGAAACAAGCTTACAACTGCAGGATAGGCCATCCCCATGGAGTAGCACATCTTATGGAAGTCATCAATGAATGCTGAGGATACAAGATTCATCTGAGGATTAGTACCAACATAAAACCTTCCAGCCCCAGCTTTCAGCTAGAGACCACTAAACATGTGTGTTTTCTAGATAAAACCTTCCAGCATTATAGTGTCCCAACCTTCAGCCAGGGACCACTAAACATGTGTGTTTTCTAGATAAAACCTTCCAGCATTATAATGTCCCAACCTTCAGCCAGGGACCACTAAACATGTGTGTTTTCTAGATAAAACCTTCCAGCATTATAGTGTCCCAACCTTCAGCCAGGGACCACTAAACATGTGTGTTTTCTAGATAAAACCTTCCAGCATTATAGTGTCCCAACCTTCAGCCAGAGACCACTAAACATGTGTGTTTTCTAGATGAAACCTTCCAGCATTATAGTGTCCCAACCTTCAGACAGAGACCACTAAACATGTGTGTTTTCTAGATGAAACCTTCCAGCATTATAGTGTCCCAACCTTCAGCCAGAGACCACTAAACATGTGTGTTTTCTAGATGAAACCTTCCATCATTATAGTGTCCCAACCTTCAGCCAGAGACCACTAAACATGTGTGTTTTCTAGATAAAATCTTCCATCATTATAGTGTCCCAACCTTCAGCCAGGGACCACTAAACATGTGTGTTTTCTAGATAAAACCTTCCATCATTATAGTGTCCCAACCTTCAGCCAGAGACCACTAAACATGTGTGTTTTCTAGATAAAACCTTCCATCATTATAGTGTCCCAACCTTCAGCCAGGGACCACTAAACATGTGTGTTTTCTAGATAAAACCTTCCATCATTATAATGTCCCAACCTTCAGCCAGAGACCACTAAACATGTGTGTTTTCTAGATAAAACCTTCCAGCATTATAATGTCCCAACCTTCAGCCAGGGACCACTAAACATGTGTGTTTCCTTGATAAAACCTTCCAGCATTATAGTGTCCCAACCTTCAGCCAGGGACCACTAAACATGTGTGTTTTCTAGATAAAACCTTCCAGCATTATAGTGTCCCAACCTTCAGCCAGGAACCACTAAACATGTGTGTTTTCTAGATAAAACTTTCCATCATTATAGTGTCCCAACCTTCAGCCAGAGACCACTAAACATGTGTGTTTTCTAGATAAACCTTCCAGCATTATAGTGTCCCAACCTTCAGCCAGAGACCACTAAACATGTGTGTTTTCTAGATGAAACCTTCCAGCATTATAATGTCCCAACCTTCAGCCAGAGACCACTAAACATGTGTGTTTTCTAGATGAAACCTTCCATTATTATAGTGTCCCAACCTTCAGTCAGAGACTACTAAACATGTGTGTTTTCTAGATGAAACCTTCCATCATTATAGTGTCCCAACCTTCAGCCAGAGACCACTAAACATGTGTGTTTTCTAGATAAAACCTTCCATCATTATAATGTCCCAACCTTCAGACAGAGACCACTAAACATGTGTGTTTTCTAGATAAAACCTTCCAGCATTATAGTGTCCCAACCTTCAGCCAGAGACCACTAAACATGTGTGTTTTCTAGATAAAACCTTCCAGCATTATAATGTCCCAACCTTCAGCCAGAGACCACTGAACATGTGTGTTTTCTAGATAAAACCTCCCATCATTATAATGTCCCAACATTCAGCCAGGGACCACTGAACATGTGTGTTTTCTAGATAAAACCTTTCAGCATTATAATGTCCCAACCTTCAGCCAGGGACCACTAAACATGTGTGTTTTCTAGATAAAACCTTCCATCATTATAGTGTCCCAACCTTCAGCCAAGGGTCATACAAAATGTTATGTTTTTACTGTTAGAGAGAGAGAGAGAGAGAGTGAGCAAGAGAGAGAGAGAGAGTGAGAGAGAGAGAGAGAAAGAAAGAGTGAGAGAGAGAGCGATCAAATGTGTTTCACCTCCATTAATTTGAACATGAAAAGAGATATGCGTGAAAGCCAGTCTCAGGGTTACGTAATCAAAGTGAAATAAAAAATGCTGTAACATTCAATCTATTGAACTGAGCTGAGAAGTTATTTCAAGTTATACATGTGAACGCACCAGAGGTTGGACTAAGTGGTCACCTTTCAAGACCAAGTCAAACTGCCTCCAAGTCATAAGTCAAGTCCTTAAACTGCCAAGTCACAAGTCACAAGTCAAGTAACTAGGAATGCTCCGAAGCTGAGTCCCGAGTCAAATTACTTTATGCATTAATTCGTGTGAACATTGAGCAAATTTTATTTTAAATTTACTAAAATAAAGATAAAGATCTACGTAAAATGGTGAAAATGAAAAACAATAATTTACAGTGCAAAAATACTCTCTGAACCATACTAAAGAGATAGAAAAAGCTGAATGTGAAAGCTTGATAATTTAAACATAATTTTTTATATCCTGCTTCTTCTTCGTCTTCTTAGTTCACCGGCTGAAGGCTCCAAGGAAAGTACTGGTTGTTCGTCCATCTGGACTCTGGCTTTGTGCCAGGGCCTGAGTTTTGTGTCTACCTCCATTTTACTGGCTTATTTGTGCGCAGTTGGTTGTTCTCACGGCCAGCTCTAGATTTATACTGGAGCTGGCCATGGTTGTTCTTACCACTCGGGCAGACGCTCTCCGACTTTGAAGGAAAGCCGTCAATTAGTAAAATACTACAACATGCTTATTGGAAAGGCAGTGGGTCTATTCTTATTTTCCTCATATTGGGGCTCCAGAGCCAACAAGGGCATATCCTGTTTGATATAAACAAGTTTTCAACTGATGATCACCAAACCTCACAGTGGCAAGCCGCACAGTACGAGTCATATAAGGTTGTCAAAGCTACAAGTCACAAGTAGCTAGACAAAATCCTAAGTCAAGACACAAGTTTTTACTCAATGCGACTCAAGTCGGGCTCGAGTCCAAATTATGAGACCTGAGTCGCAACCTTTTTATTGCTTCATGGTGTCCAGCGCGCTAGCTAAGTTGGTTAAACCAGCTGTGCGGTGACCGTGTGACAAACTCTTTGTGGTCTGAGTTCATGCCTGGGGTAGGGTAAGAAGCTACACATTTCCCAGATTTATGGTATCCAACATGAAAACATGGCCAAAGGGTTGCGATATCCATAGTACCGAGCTAAAATGTTTAAAACTCATGGTTTCTGGATTTTAAAAAAAAATATTTTATGTTTCCCCATGTGTACACATCAGAAAAAACAGTCTGAACCCTGGTGCTCAGATGAGAATTTACAGTTATAAATGGCTGCATGAAAAAGTGGACTTTCAGTCCAATTTTGGCATCTTATTTATATTAAGATATTTTAGCTTGACTGTGCCGTGGGATGACTGTAGCTGCCCCATGGAGGGAATAACTGACAATAACATCATAAGTACATTACTTTTACAGAGTTCAGATACCCACATCTTGGGGAATACAAATATTGTTTGATTTGTTTAGTTCTGACTAAATGTAAGAAATACAATCAGACACGGCACATTGATACACATGCAGATAAGCTAGCAATAGAAATATGGATGGAATATAATGTCACATGTCAGGTTATGTCATCAACAGACTGACTGGTAGGATCCTGTCATCTGTTGCTCTGAGCTGACTGGCTCAGTCTATCTATCTGTCATCTGTTGCTCTGAGTAGACTGGCTCAGTCTATATATCTGTCATCTGTTGTTCTGATCTGACTGGCCCAGTCTATCTATCTGTCATCTGTTGCTCTGAGTAGACTGGTTCAGTCTATCTATCTGTCATCTGTTGCTCTGACCTGACCGACCCAGTCTATCTATCTGTCATCTGTTGCTCTGAGTAGACTGGCCCAGTCTATCTATCTGTCATCTGTTGCTCTGAGCTGACTGGCCCAGTCTATCTATGTGTCATCTGTTGCTCTGAGCAGACTAGCTCAGTCTATATATCTGTCATCTGTTGTTCTGAGCTGACTGGCCCAGTCTATCTATCTGTCATCTGTTGTTCTGAGCTGATCGGCCCAGTCTATCTATCTGTCATCTGTTGCTCTGAGCTGACCGGCTTAGTCTAGCTATCTGTCATCTGTTGCTCTGAGCTGACTGGCTCAGTCTAGCTATCTGTCACCTGTTGCTCTGAGCTGACTGGCCCAGTCTAGCTATCTGTCATCTGTTGCTCTGAGCTGACTGGCTCAGTCTAGCTATCTGTCATCTGTTGCTCTGAGCTGACGGGCCCAGTCTATCTATCTGTCATCTGTTGCTCTGAGCTGACTGGCTCAGTCTAGCTATCTGTCATCTGTTGCTCTGAGCTGACGGGCCCAGTCTATCTATCTGTCATCTGTTGCTCTGAGTTGACCGACTCAGTCTATCTATCTGTCATCTGTACATTTGTGCTGTGATGATAAGCCTGGTCAACTACTAACTGTTGAAATATTCTTCTTAGGGAATATGTTGGCTAATGGGGCCAAAATAGGGCTCTAGAACCCACAGTGGGGAGAAGTTGTGCTGCTCAAATTAGCATGTGATAGTGATAACATCACTTTTGTTTTCACCGTCATTTCCTAGCAAGATTAGTTATATAAACTCCTAAAACTGTTTAATTTACACTTATATTTAACTCTCAAGTTGCAATTTCATATACTTCTCTCAAAATGTTCTTTTAAAAAATATTCACCTCCAAACTACCATTTGTAGTCATATTTACCTCCAAAGCTATTATATATAGTTACATTTATTTCTTGGACTGCTATTTATAATCATATTTACCTCTCAGCCTTTCATTTATAGTCTTTGTTTGGTTTATACAAGAGATCAACATCATGGCCCAAGGGTAGTAAGTAACCCATAAGTGCTCTGTTCTCCTTTCAACTTAAGCCTGAGTCTGAAGAATCTCAGCACAGTACACAAACTCCTAGCAAAAGTGAGGGTACTGAAATACTTTGGGTAGATTTTTAACTCAAAAATTTTATCGGGCAGCTCCCAGAGTGGGTTCTGGGACCCTATTATAGGGAAAACAAGAATAGACCCACTGTCTACCCAAAAGAATGTCATTAGAGTCGACTAACTTGGAGCTTCCTTCAAAGTCGGAGTGCATCTGCCTGAGAGGCAAGGAACTAGCAGTCTGCATACAAATGAGTCAGATCTGTAAAAGGGTTGCATACGCAACATTCAGGTACTGGAACAGAACTGCAGTCCAAAAGTGGAGGAACAACCAGAACTTTCCACCGGGGTTTACAGCTGGTCAACGCAAAGAAGAAGAAGAATCCTGGGCAGTGCCATTAGGCTACTCTTTGTGATTTCTGATCTGCACAACAATACACACGGGCGTATGATCTTACAACCCAGAGACCAGGGGAAATCACTAGAAGTCATCGTGGCAAATTCCCAGCCTTTACCGGGGCCTAAAATTGAGACCTCCATCACTCAAGGTGAACGCCATGCCTCGAGACTACCTCATCTCCTAAAGTGTCATTCACAATTATATTTACTTCTAACACTGTTTGATGTACTCTACAACTCTGTCAGTCTCAGACATTAGCTGCCACATTTATCTTCCTTAGTTTTTTTTTCTGTAACCATAGTTACCTCTTAAAACAGCAAACAGCAAGGTATAGAAGTCTGTGCTGGGTTCTCTCGCCATAATCACCATTTCATGGTCTCTCTTGGGTACCTTAAAAAATAATAATAAAGTTCACTGTTTTAATTTTGTGTTTGATTCTTTAAATTTATTCTTAGTGTAACAGACCAACGGAGTAGGAGTGTAGATTGTTGGCTTGTTATAATTTTGGTTTGGCTGCACTTGCGAAATAAAATCTGACGGGTTAATGAAGTTTATAAAAGGGCTTGTCTAGCCTAAGAAGGTTCTCTCTGTGTGTCTTGGTTCATGCTCCATCGGGTTGCTCTGTTGATGTGTGATCGCACAGCGCAGGTGCTGCAGACTGAGCTGAGATAGATGAATTGCCTGATTACGGTGTTGGTACCTTTTAATGGTTAGACTGTATTAGATATCAATTTTCTCCAGTAGTTAAACTGTGTTACATCTAGATATCAGTGTGTATAATCGCTTGGAGATATTTGATTTCAGGTAGCTGGAAGCGAACTTTTTCCTTGGTAGTTGAAGTGCTTAGCACATGGTCTGTGTGAAAATAATGTTGACTGTTGATGTACTGTCATCTGTGAAGCACGTTAGTTTTGTGTTTAGGAAATTCAACAGATGTTTTCAAATGTTGTTGTTGTTGTGTAACTCAGCTATTCACTATGAACAGCATTCATGGTCCCTGCACAGAAGAACCCTTGTCTAAAACAAAACAAAAAAAATACTTTTCCTGTTTTTGCAGGTGAGCAGGGAATTACTTTTTGTCCTAATCACTTTTCTTTCCTTAACTCCCTACTTCTTGTTTTTCTTTTTCCTCTTCCTGCTAGCACATTTGAATTCACATTAGAATTTATGACATTTTATTTTGTTCTGCCATGGGGTGTTTAAATACTGGGGTTTTTCTATCGTCTTGTACAGTTCTACTGAAGTAAAACCTTACATGTGTTAAATTTGTTGTCTCCTACAACATTCTGCAGACATTGATTGCACTCTTGTTTAGTGTTTTTGCTCTAGTCTAAGGATGTGATGCATGGTACTGCAGTTTATCCCCTCTAGGACTGTAGTCCACAGGATTTTAGTCCCTAAGGATGAGAATCTTACAGGTATGAATCTGGTAAACCCTGTTCAACCATAATGTTGTACTGAGGCTCTGACTGCTACACAGTAATCTAAAGTTCAGACCAGGCAGAGATGTAATGGTATCCTCGAAGGATCTACAACCAGTGTTACTGGAACGATACACATCTCCATCTTGTGAAACTGTTGATGGGTTTGTTCAAACCAGGATGTTTTAAAGACTTGCTTAGTTTGTCATTTCATGTGGAAAGGTTCTCTGTGTTTTCCAAGCGGTATCCTTATCCTTATCATCAAGGCCAATGGCTCATAAACAGCACACTGTCCTGAAAGCTGAGGTATTGTAGCCATGTTAAATGATATGATGACCTGGAGAAGATGGGGTGGAGGGTACAATTTCTGGCAAACCATGCAGAAGTAGACCTCTGCAAACGTGGGTACAAAACTTCTAAGATGTACTGGTTAGGAAAGCACATAATGCTGGGTAACTGACTTGAATCAGAGAGACTTCCAGACTTGTCATGACACAAGTGACCTTCTGTGAAGGACCTGCTGGATGATGAAGATGCATGTCTTTCTGCATTGATCTGTTCTAGATCTTTATTTATTATTATTTTTATTTTTGTTTTGTTCTGGTGCAAGAATTTTGCTCATGTATTTTCATTTTCCTGTGTGCCACATTTTTCATAAGGATTTATATCTATGCTCCAGACAGTGGAGTTGTTAACTTATAGTATTTGGTAAGCCTCAGTTTTAGTTTCTGTGATATTTATTTAGAGGGAGAGAGGACCATGTTAGGCTTGATCAGACTCAGAAGCCAGGTCACTCAATTCCTGCCTCAAAAGGAATATAATCATAGGACCAAGTGTGCAAGAATATATAATCATATGAGCAAGTGTGCCAAGAAAATATAAACATATGACCAAGTGTGCCAAGAAAATATAAACAAATGACCAAGTGTGCCAAGAATTTATAAACAGATGAGCAAGTGTGCCAAGAAAATATAAACAAATGACCAAGTGTGCCAAGAATTTATATACAGATGAGCAAGTGTGCCAAGAATTATAAACATATGACCAAGTGTGCCAAGAATTTATAAACAGATGACCAAGTGTGCCAAGAATTTATAAACATATGACCAAGTGTGCCAAAAATTTATAAACAGATGAGCAAGTGTGCCAAGAATTTATAAACAGATGAGCAAGTGTGCCAAGAAAAAAATAAGCATATGACCAAGTGTGCCAAGAATATATAAACATATGAGCAAGTGTGCTAAGATAATATAATCATATGACCAAGTGTGCAAAGAATATATAATCATATGACCAAGTGTGCAAAGAATATATAATCATATGAGCAAGTGTGCCAAGAATATATAATCATATGACTAAGTGTGCAAAGAATATATAATCATATGACCAAGTGTGCAAAGAATATATAATCATATGAGCAAGTGTGCCAAGAATATATAATCATATGAGCAAGTGTGCCAAGAATATATAATCATATGACCAAGTGTGCCAAGAATAAATAAACATATGACCAAGTGTGCCAAAAATATATATAAACAACTTAGATAAACTAATTTTTAAAATAAAAGCAGCTGAACATCAATGAAAACAAAGCTGCTCATCCGAGCAGTTGAGATACACATTTAGCAACTCACCAAGCTGGCAAAGGCAACAGCACTTCCATAGGTCACAGTCAGGTTCAAGGCTGAGTATACAGCCACAAGGTCAGTGAAGTAGTTGGAGTTATGCAGGCTGTAATATTCTTGGGCTCCCCTTCTCCAGGCTTCAATCTCTCCTGTAAGATGATGCACATTTATTGTTGTTGTTGTTGTTGTTGTTGTTGTTGTTGGTGGCGAGTGACTTGTTATAAATGTGAGCTACTTCACCCTCATTATAACTTATTTTTATGTTATGCTTATTCTAAATTAAAATTTTTTATTTTTTAGCATTCACCAGTTGGGAACTCTGGTGGAAAGTTCTGGATGTTTGTCCACGTCTAGACTTTGGTCTTGCTCTAGAACGTCAGTTTTACATGCATATCTGTTATATAGGTCTGGTTTATTTATATGCAGACTATTGCTGCCTCATTTCTTAGGCACAAGCACTTTGGTTTTGACAGAAAAACACCTAATTAGACACCATCTACAATGTTTGTTAGGGGTGCAGTTCGTATATTCTTCATTCCCCCATAATAAGCCCTGAAACACACACAGAAACCACAAGTGATGACACAGAAACCTCCAGTGATGATACAGAAACCTCCAGTGATGACACAGAAACCTCCAGTGATGACACAAAAACCATCAGTGATGACACAGAAACCACCAGTGATGACACAGAAACCACCAGTGATGAGACAGAAACCCCCAATGATGACACAGAAACCTCCAGTGATGACACAGAAACCACCAGTGATGACACAGAAACCACCAGTGATGAGACAGAAACCCCCAATGATGACACAGAAAACATCAGTGATGACACAGAAACCTCCAGTGATGACACAGAAACCACCAGTGGTGACACAGAAATAACCAGTGATGACACAGAAACCTCAGTGATGACACGGAAACCTCCAGTGATGACATATAAACCTTCAGTGATGACACAGAAACCTCCAGTGATGACACAGAAACCACCAGTGGTGACACAGAAATAACCAGTGATGACACAGAAACCTCCAGTGATGACACAGAAACCTCCAGTAATGACACATAAACCTTCAGTGATGACACATAAACCATCAAGGATGACACAGAAGCCACCAGTGATGACACAGAAACCACCAGTGATGACACATAAACCTTCAGTGATGACACAGAAACAACCAGTGATGACACATAAACCTCCAGTGATGACACAGAAGCCTCCAGTGATGACACATAAACCTCCAGTGATGACACAGAAACCACCAATGATGACACATAAACCTCCAGTGATGACACAGAAACCTCCAGTGATGACACATAAACCTCCAGTGATGACACAGAAACCACCAGTGGTGACACAGAAATAACCAGTGATGACACAGAAACCTCAGTGATGACACGGAAACCTCCAGTGATGACATATAAACCTTCAGTGATGACACATAAACCTCCAGTGATGACACAGAAACCACCAGTGGTGACACAGAAATAACCAGTGATGACACAGAAACCTCCAGTGATGACACAGAAACCTCCAGTAATGACACATAAACCTTCAGTGATGACACATAAACCATCAAGGATGACACAGAAGCCACCAGTGATGACACAGAAACCACCAGTGATGACACATAAACCTTCAGTGATGACACAGAAACAACCAGTGATGACACATAAACCTCCAGTGATGACACAGAAGCCTCCAGTGATGACACATAAACCTCCAGTGATGACACAGAAACCACCAATGATGACACATAAACCTCCAGTGATGACACAGAAACCTCCAGTGATGACACATAAACCTCCAGTGATGACACAGAAACCTCCAGTGATGACACAGAAACCACCAATGATGACACATAAACCTCCAGTGATGACACAGAAACCTCCAGTGATGACACAGAAACCTCCAGTGATGACACAGAAGCCACCAGTGATGACACAGAAACCACCAGCGATGACACAGAAACCACCAGCGATGACACAGAAACCACCAGTGATGACACAGAAACCACCAGTGATGACACAGAAACCTCCAGTGATGACACAGAAACCTCCAGTGATAACACAGAAACCACCAGTGATGACACAGAAACCTCCAGTGATGACACAGAAACCTCCAGTGATGACACAGAAACCTCCACTGATGACACAGAAACCTCCAGTGATGACACAGAAACCTCCAGTGATGACACAGAAACCTCCAGTGATGACACAAAAACCATCAGTGATGACTCAGAAACCTCCAGTGATGACACAGAAGCCACCAGTGATGACACAGAAACAACCAGTGATGACACACAAACCTCCAGTGATGACACAGAAGCCACCAGTGATGACACAGAAACCTCCAGTGATGACACAGAAGCCACCAGTGATGACACAGAAACAACCAGTGATGACACAAAAACCATCAGTGATGACTCAGAAACCTCCAGTGATGACACAGAAGCCACCAGTGATGACACAGAAACAACCAGTGATGACACAAAAACCATCAGTGATGACTCAGAAACCTCCAGTGATGACACAGAAGCCACCAGTGATGACACAGAAACAACCAGTGATGACACAAAAACCATCAGTGATGACTCAGAAACCTCCAGTGATGACACAGAAGCCTCCAGTGATGACACAGAAACCACCAGTGATGACACAGAAACCTCCAGTGATGACACAGAAACATCCAGTGATGACACAGAAACCACCAGTGATGACACAGAAACCTCCAGTGATGACACAGAAACCTCCAGTGATGACACAAAAACCATCAGTGATGACACAGAAACCTCCAGTGATGACACAGAAACCTCCAGTGATGACACAAAAACCCTCAGTGATGACTCAGAAACCTCCAGTGATGACACAGAAGCCACCAGTGATGACACAGAAACAACCAGTGATGACTCAGAAACCTCCAGTGATGACACAGAAACCTCCAGTGATGACACAAAAACCATCAGTGATGACTCAGAAACCTCCAGTGATGACACAGAAGCCACCAGTGATGACACAGAAACCACCAGTGATGACACAGAAACCTCCAGTGATGACACAGAAACCTCCAGTGATGACACAAAAACCATCAGTGATGACTCAGAAACCTCCATTGATGACACAGAAGCCACCAGTGATGACACAGAAACCACCAGTGATGACACAGAAACCACCAGTGATGACACAGAAACCTCCAGTGATGACACAGAAGCCACCAGTGATGACATATAAACCTTCAGTGATGACACATAAACCTCCAGTGATGACACAGAAACCACCAGTGGTGACACAGAAATAACCAGTGATGACACAGAAACCTCCAGTGATGACACAGAAACCTCCAGTAATGACACATAAACCTTCAGTGATGACACATAAACCATCAAGGATGACACAGAAGCCACCAGTGATGACACAGAAACCACCAGTGATGACACATAAACCTTCAGTGATGACACAGAAACAACCAGTGATGACACAGAAACCACCAGTGATGACACAGAAACCTCCAGTGATGACACAGAAGCCACCAGTGATGACACAGAAATAACCAGTGATGACACAGAAACAACCAGTGATGACACAGAAATAACCAGTGATGACACAGAAACAACCAGTGATGACACAGAAACAACCAGTGATGACACAGAAACAACCAGTGATGACACAGAAACCTCCAGTGATGACACAGAAACAACCAGTGATGACACAGAAACAACCAGTGATGACACAGAAATAACCAGTGATGACACAGAAACAACCAGTGATGACACAGAAACAACCAGTGATGACACAGAAGCCACCAGTGATGACACAGAAACAACCAGTGATGACACAGAAGCCACCAGTGATGACACAGAAGCCACCAGTGATGACACAGAAACAACCAGTGATGACACAGAAACAACCAGTGATGACACAGAAGCCACCAGTGATGACACAGAACAACCAGTGATGACACTGCTCTAGTTTCTCAATCCACCAGCTCTAACTTACCATGATACCTCTCAAAGTCCAGCACTAGTTGCAGGTGGGGATGTACCTGGCTGGCCCCACATTTAGGCAGGATGTCCCAGATCAGGGCCGGGTATCTCGCTTGAGGATAGTGGCTGTTTGCTTTCTTGATCCTGACCACAGAGAATAGTTTTATAGTAAATATTAATTACTGATAACGATATATCTTAATCAAGGCAATTTGAACTGTCTTAGTCTTTCAGTATCAAGCAGTTGTTATTTTACCTTCTAATATAACAAGGGTTAAGCTTGAGGCAATCAATACATAGGTCTCTAGACGTTAAACAAAATCACTGAAAGAAGTAGTTGAATTACTGATTCAGGTATGGAGGGTGGTGTCACAAAATCACAGTTACCAAGGGTTGATAAAACATCTGTGTGTGTCACAAAATCACAGTTACCAAGGGTTGATAAAACATCTGTGTGTGTCATAAAATCACAGTTACCAAGGGTTGATAAAACATCTGTGTGTGTCATAAAATCACAGTTACCAAGGGTTGATAAAACATCTGTGTGTGTCACAAAATCACAGTTACCAAGAGTTGATAAAACATCTGTGTGTGTCATAAAATCACAGTTACCAAGGGTTGATAAAACATCTTTTTGTGTCACAAAATCACAGTTACCAAGGGTTGATATAACATGTGTGTGTCAAAAAATCACAGTTACCAACAGTTGATATAACATCTGTGTGACACAAAATCACAGTTACCAAGAGTTGATATAACATCTGTGTGACACAAAATCACAGTTACCAAGGGTTGATAAAACATCTGTGTGACACAAAATCACAGTTACCAAGAGTTGATATAACATCTGTGTGACACAAAATCACAGTTACCAAGAGTTGATATAACATCTGTGTGACACACAATCACAGTTACCAACAGTTGATATAACATCTGTGTGACACACAATCACAGTTACCAACAGTTGATATAACATCTGTGTGACACACAATCACAGTTACCAACAGTTGATATAACATCTGTGTGACACACAATCACAGTTACCAAGAGTTGATATAACATTTGTGTGACACACAATCACAGTTACCAAGAGTTGATATAACATCTGTGTGACACAAAATCACAGTAACTGATTGGTGAGTGGTTTCTGAGAAAAATGGGGAAAAAATGTCATAAAAGCCACTCTTTTCAAAGATCTTCCTAATTATGGGGATTTTCCAAAATTACTGTGATGACATGATGCCAATGAACAATACCGAAACAAGAGAGTGTGATGTAGGGAGGAAGGGGCTGGTGGAGAAGAGTATGATGATGATGGTGGACAGTGAAGGGTATGAATCTAGAGATGATTCTCTGCTGATGATGAATAAGGAAATAATAAGAATGGAAATAATGAGAAATAAATAATAAGGAGATAACATAGATGATTATGAGGATGAAGATTATGAAACTGAGGAGCATACAGGCAAGTAAATTCTGCACATAAAACAAAAAACACTGACCAAGTTTCTGTCAGACGAAACAGATCCACAAACTCCTCTAATGACCAGTGCAAAGGGTCGTGCTGTTTCATAGCCACTACCGCATGCAGTGTATCAATCTTGAAGATGTTGGAGGCAGTGAAGGCATGTTTGGACTGCACTCGGCCAAATGTATGCTCTGCTGTAAAACTGGCAAGAAAGATCAAGAGCATGTTATTTAAAATCAGTGCACTCAAACTATCATCCTTGCTATCCAGACTTATCCACAGCTGCTCCAGTCTCCCAGCTCAGACTATCACCCTTGCTGTCCAGACTTATCCACAGCTGTTCCAGTTTCCCAGCTCAGACTATCATCCTTGCCATCCAGACTTATCCACAGCTGCTTCAATCTCCTAGCTCAGACTATCACCCTTGCTGTCCAGACTTATCCACAGCTGCTCCAGTTTCCCAGCTCAGACTTTCATTCTTGCTGTCCAGACTTATCCACAGCTGCTTCAGTCTCCCAGCTCAGACTATCATCCTTGCTGTCCAGACTTATCCACAGCTGTTCCAGTTTCCCAGCTCAGACTATCACCCTTGCTGTCCAGACTTATCCACAGCTGCTCCAGTTTCCCAGCTCAGACTTTCATTCTTGCTGTCCGGGCTTATCCACAGCTGCTTCAGTCTCCCAGCTCAGACTATCATCCTTGCTATCCAGACTTATCCACAGCTGCTTCAGTCTCCCTGCTCAGACTATCATCCTTGCTGTCCATGCTTATCCACAGCTGCTCCAGTCTCCAAGCTCAGACTATCATTCTTGCTGTCCAGACTTATCCACAGCTGCTCCAATCTCCCACCTAACTCAGTCAGTCCCAGGCTGCCTTTCCTTTAACTTATTCCAGACTAGACTTGTTACTATACACAATAAATGTTTATGTATAAAACTTTGTGACATGCCAAAAGTGTAAAAAGCCATCATTTACATCTCACGGATCAAGTCCGTTGTTTTTCTTGCCATCACCGAAGCAGGTAGTCTCTGTCACTGTCTTTCTTTTTAACCATAATCTTTCATGAGACAGATGCTCATAAACATTTTCATTACTGTGTCATCTTCTGCTGACAATTATGGAACTGGATCCCATGACCTGCAACTATCTGTTGCTCAAGCTCAGGCCACTACCTAGTCCTTCCGGTAAAAATGAGCGCTAGGCATGGCCACTATTTGGATCCAAGGCAATTTTTTTGCTTCTGCCAGACAGTGGCCGTTGCATTTTTACTCCATTTGTATACTGAAAGGATATAGTTTCGTTGCCTAGCTTCTGAGCTGAATGCATGGCATGACACTGTGAGCTGCAGATTTCATATGGAATGTTTTTGGACTGTGACCAAACGGTGTTGTGAATCGTAGTTAAGAAAATGGTGCCATGCTGGTTGTCGCAACATTGGTGGTGCCCTTATGTGATTAAAATGTATCGCGTGTGCAGCTGCTGATCTGTTGGTGAATTCTGCTACCATCAATGATGAACTGCATTTCTAATGTTGGACTGTGTTAGCACTTCAGATGGCTAGCGTATGCTTTAATGCGTGTGTATGCTAGTGCATATGGTGAGACAGCAGTCTGTCAATCTTTCCACAAGAGACTGTGTCAAACATTCTGTGTGTTTTTCTTTGGCACAGGAACGGAGCAACTATGAGGTGACCCGTCTGCTATGAAACTGAAACTAAGGCTACCAGACTACGAGTCCAGGGGCTTCATTGTGCTCAGGGGCTGGTTGGGAGGCAGGGCCTCAAAATGTCTTCTATCTGTCTGATTCTACAAGGCTTCAAATAATAGCTCTATCAAACAGAGCGGCTGCATGGACAATGAGATTAAAATGGCCTCATGTATTCATGAAACTTGACAGAAGAAGCTGAGAAAGGCATAACATGTGTGAAGTAGCCAATTCTTCTTCTGATTTTTTTTTCTTCACCAGCCCTGATCTGCCTTTCAGCATGTGTTTTCAAGAAGCATTAGGTAAAAGCCTTGGTATGTGCTAGGTACAGTGGATATTTATAGCCTTGGTGTTTCATCTATCTATTGCTTGTGTGGTTGACCTCCGGCTATGCTTCCATTGTGTAAAAGTTTTCTGTGGTGCCCTGTGTGGTGCTAGTCTTGACACATGACCAAACCATTTCATCTGTAGTCTCTTGATGAAGTTTTATCTGAGTAGCTAATAAATGCATTAAACAGATTTCTGGTGCCCTGACAGCTGATCAACTTCAGAATGGATGATATTTCTGTCTCTATTTTCTCTCCAGTTTTATTACAGTTTTTGCTTCTACAGTTTACACTTAAAGGTTAGTTGTACATCTTTTACAGAACCAACCCCAGCATTTTTAGGCTGGATTTTTTTTTTCTAGGCAAATTTCATCTTCAGTAGTTTGGCATTGCTTTCTGAACAGCCAGCTCTCGGTACCACTGTCGAAACCCCGTAGCTGGGATCGAACCTAGCAGCCTGTGTTCACAATGCCCTAGCCACAGACGCAATGTACATTACCAGATACAAACTCATCCAATAATTGTTAGCCATTCTCCTCCTTTGCTAAAGGTTCATTCAGTTCAGTTACCAGTACAAATATCCTGTATATCACGTAATATTATAATATAATTTGAGCCATATTATTCTCAAAAATGTCTTAGAATTGGGTATTCTTGGCAGTTCCAATGGTCCCTGTGGTTTATGGTCAACAGTAATGGGAGGCCTAATTTATGAAAAAAGGGCACAAAATTATAAATGTGAAATTAAAGGAATAAACATGTGAAATACCTACTGAGTGAAATTGCAAAAGTCACAGGTTTTTGCAGTGGCTTTCAGAAGTTCATCAAAACTGAGGAATATAGACACTGTAATTAGTCAAATATAAAAAAAAACTGCATCTTTATGTCCAGTTACACATTTGTCATTGCATAATTTTAGTTCTCCTCTTTGATCTTCTCAATCTATTTACCCAGTCACTGTAATTTCTTACATTGTTTTAGTTACAGAATTCATAAATAAAATTAGTTAGCTCCTATTACTACCTGTATTTACCATTTCTGCTGTGCATGCAGGCGGGAAGAGGGGGGGGGGGGGGGGGTCTTTGAGCCTGAAGATTTAGGGTCACATGACTAATACTGTCACCACAGACTGTGCAGGTTATCATTTTATTTTTGCTGCCAAACCTTGTCCAGGGTTGAACCAGTTGTTTCCTGCACGAAAGCCGTGTGTTATTCATTCAGCCAGTTGCTCCCCCACCAAACCACCCTCCTAAAAAAAATAATTTTAACAATGAAAATGAGATGTCTGAGAAAGACTACATCATTGACTAAAAGGGATAGCATTAGAAAATAGGACATACAAGAATAATATAGGCACAAAAAATATCATTTCTTACAAAAGACAGCAAAAACACAAGGGTGAGAAGCAGAACCCTGTATCTCTGTCAACACTTAAAGAGGTCAAAGAAAAAATAAAAAAATAAAAACTTGTTAAGAGTATCTTGCCACCAGATAATGTTTGCGACACATGTCAAGACTATCCTGCCACCAGATAATGATTGCGACACGTGTCAAGACTATCCTGCCACCAGATAATGATTGCGACACGTGTCAAGATAATCCTGCCACCAGATAATGTTTGCGAAACGTGTCAAGACTATCCTGCCACCAGATAATGTTTGCGAAACGTGTCAAGACTATCCTGCCACCAGATAATGTTTGCGAAACGTGTCAAGACTATCCTGCCACCAGATAATGTTTGCGAAACGTGTCAAGACTATCCTGCCACCAGATAATGTTTGCGACACGTGTCAAGACTATCCTGTCACCAGATAATGTTTGCGAAACGTGTCAAGACTATCCTGCCACCAGATAATGTTTGCGACACATGTCAAGACTATCCTGCCACCAGATAATGTTTTCGACACGTGTCAAGACTATCCTGCCACCAGATAACGCACCACAAACAGCCCTGTTACTTAGACACAGTAGAAGAAAACTAGAGGTTGACCACACAATTGATGGATATGTTATAGGCTCGAGAACGCCAAAGACTGCTATTGAGCAGATTGTCGATTTTGGTTTGTTTGACCGATACCTTCATTTAGTCTGGTTTAGGAAAGCAGAAAAGTCTGGCCATTGTGTATAAAAAAGGCCAGCTCACTCACTATTTGTTGTCCTTTTTGACTTTTGGACGGACCCTGTAGGAGACCTACCCAGCTGTTGTGGCTCTGCACATTGGGCTAGCCAGCATGGGTATGGGCAACTGCAGGGGAAGGCCGGTTGACTGACTGATTTCATGGCAGTGGTATGTTTCCATAGTTAGCCCTGAAATTGCCTCTAGTAGTTATACTGTGTAATATGTCGGGGTGTATTCTCGCTAGGATGGCAAGTTCGCTTTAAGTGATTTGTTGTATTGGTGGCATATTGAAGCTTAACGTACATATTAAATATGTTTCGGTTTTTGCCATTGTTGAGGTAATCTCGCTGAGCGTATGGTGTCATTATCATATTTCCTTGTTAGCTGGAGATGATTAGCACTTTAGATTCTGCCTCTGGTCGAGCACGTTGGTTGTTGTTAATGTATTATTTGCGAAGTAGGCGTTAATTCTGTGCTCAGTTGAGTAAAATAAACAGCTGTTCAATGTGATGATTATAATTAATTTGCTTGATTTAATTTAGGATATGTAGTCTGTGCCCATTGTTTGTCAAGGTGTATGTAACTATGTTGTTAGGTTATCGTCATGTAACTCACTATGCATATACTCTTTCTCTGGGTCTTAGTGGAATATTCTAGGATCCCTGCGCAGAGAAACCCCTGTTTTTTCTTTACTTTCCTGTTTTTGCTGTTTAGTGGGGAACTATTTCATTTTGTCCTAATCACAATTTTCCTTCCTACTTCTGCGTTTTTCCTTCTTCTTTCTTCCTGCTAGCATAGATAGACTGATTATTAGAAGCTGTGATTACAAGCATATATGTAGCACATACTAATGCTGGTATATGATGCCACTTCAAACCCTGACTCTGAAAGATAGAATGTTGAATGTTTAATTAAGAATGAACAGCACACTAATTGGGACATTTCTATTAATGCTTTGTCCACATCTTCAGCAGCAAGTGCAGAGTTCCAATTCTGATGGCACCAGTAACAGTTTAAATGTATATCTGTCTCATCTTTTCCCTGGGTGTTGACCAGATCCCCTGCTCATTCCTGGCAACCCCATTCTACTAGACTGTAATGACAGTATTACCTGTGCTATTAGAAGATGACAGTATTACATTGTTTAATAGGAAGATGACAGCATTACTTGTTTAACAGAAAGATGACAGTGCTATAGAAAGATGACAGTATTACATTGTTTAATAAAAAGTTGACAGTGCTACAGAAATATTACAGCATTACATTTTGCTAAAGAAAAATGACAGTATTACATTGTTTAAAAACAATGTCAGTATATATTATGATTGTGTAAGAGTAATATGACAGTATTACATGCTGCATCCCACCCACTCCCCCCCCCCCCACCCCCCCCCCCCCATGTTTAAAACACACACACAAAACACACAAAGAGAGACACACACAAACTGTAACTGAAGGTAAAACTTAAAACTTTCATACATAGCACAGATCTGTATCCAGAAACATTGACAGAATACAGGAGCAACTGGTACCTACTATTCACTTTGTGACTGGTCTGGTGGCTGTATGGGCCTCTTGTCTCTCAGTGGATTGAAGACTGTGTGCTCCCTGGTGAACTCACTGATAATGTGTATGATATCCTGCAGAGAGACATATCAAGGTGCAGCTTGATGAACTTCATAAAATGGTAATTCAAAGAATATCAAAGAAAAAGGTGGTTTAGTCATCTGATCAGAGACGAACAAAAGCAACCAGCAGCTATAGCATGCTACACAGGAACAGTGGGCTACATGAGAACAGCAGGCTACATGTCAACAGCAGGCTACATGAGGCTACATGAGAACAGCAGGCTACAAATCATGGCAACATGGTAATGATAACATCATGAAATCAAACAGACTTGCAGACATAGCAATGATAACATCATGATATCAAACAGACCTTTGAACATGGCAATGATGACATCATGATATCAGACAGTCTTGTTGACATGGTAATGATAACATCATGATAAACAAAAAGTCTTTTAGACATGGCAAAGATGACATTAAGATATCAAGCAGTCTTATAGACATGGCTAAAACGACATCATGATAAACAAAAAGTCTTTTAGACATGGCAAAGATGACATTAAGATATCAAACAGTCTTATAGACATGGCTAAAATGACATCATGATATCAAACAGTCTTGTGGTCATGGCAATGATGACATCATGATATCAAACAGTCTTGTAAACATGGCAATGATGTCAACATGATATCAAACAGTCTTGTGGTCATGGCAATGATGTCATCATGATATCAAATAGTCCTATGAACATGGCAATGATGACATCATGATATCAAACAGTCTTATGATCATGGCAATGATGACATCATGATATCAAATAGTCCTATGAACATGGCAATGATGACATCATGATATCAAACAGTCTTATGGACATGGCAATGATGACATCATGATATCAAATAGTCCTATGAACATGGCAATGATGTCAACATGATATCAAAGTCTTGTGGTCATGGCAATGATGACATCATGATATCAAACAGTCTTGTGGATAAGGCAATGATGTCAACATGATATCAAACAGTCTTGTGGTCATGGCAATGATGACATCATGATATCAAACAGTCTTGTGGATAAGGCAATGATGTCAACATGATATCAAACAGTCTTGTGGTCATGGCAATGATGACATCATGATATCAAATAGTCCTATGAACATGGCAATGATGACATCATGATATCAAACAGTCTTATGATCATGGCAATGATGACATCATGATATCAAATAGTCCTATGAACATGGCAATGATGACATCATGATATCAAACAGTCTTGTGGATAAGGCAATGATGTCAACATGATATCAAACAGTCTTGTGGTCATGGCAATGATAACATCATGATATCAGTCTTATGGACATGATAATGATAACATCATGATGTCAAGCAGGCTCTTGACATGGCAATGAAGATTCTATCTTTAGTTGTAGAATTTGGCCATAAGAAATGTAAACAAGCAGTTTGCAATAATTCGGTGTGTGACTGGAGCAGGGCAGTCACATATCCTGATAAACTCTGGTGGAAAGTTCTGGTTGTTTGTCCACCTCTGGAATTTAATCTTGTTCCAGAACCTGAGTGTTGCAAAAACATCTGTTTTATTGATCTGGATTATTTACATGCAAACTGTTGGTACTTTGCCTCTCAGTCAGATGCACTCCGACTGTGAAGGAAGCGCCCAGTTAGTCCACTCTTATGACATGCTTGTTGGGGAGACAGTGAATCTATTCTTATTTCCCCCTGCGGTGGAACCCTGGAACAAACACGGGGACCCAGTTTGCTTTGTTGCACTTTTGTTCTCTTACCTGAACAAAAATTTCCTGATATAGATCCTCATTGTTTGCCAGCCAGCCCCTGACTTTTGACCGAAAGCCTTCAGGAATGGACAGTGTTGCCTTCCTGGTCTTCAGTGTGAAGATGGATGTAAACTTGTTGTAGTATTTTCTGAGACAGTCAATTGAAACTGTTTGGTCAAAGTTTCTAGTAAACTATTACATGGAGAATTATAAATTGTTAATTGGTGACTAATTAATTGTAAAATCCCATCTTTGTCTTGTACTCATTTCCCATCCTTCCTTTCACGCCCTGTCCTCAATTGATCTGTCTTGTGGTTTTTACCCAGACATCTGTCACATGTTTGTCTCCGAGTTAATTCACACTGTTCTTTGTCCTGGGTTTTCTGTATACATATATATGTTAGTTTTTTTAAACAAACTTTAACAGATAACCCAAACAATCATATGTAAAAGATGATGATGATAGCTGTAACACAAAGCACAACCCAACATAATGTATGGAACATGGCAGCAGTTCACAAGAGAAGACAAAGGGAGGTAAAAATGAATCGTACTGGCATAATGGATGCTGTGCCCTTGCCCACTGTGTTTTTATATCAGAAAGTCCGGTTAGGCTGTAGTTAGCGGCCTTGACACATTCGGACCTGAAAAAAATCTAAAAACAGTTGACTGAAATTATTCGGTTCACAAACTTGTGAATGCCTACAGGTACTTTGCATGAGAGTATGAGGTTAATGTCTTATTATCACAATTTACAAGATCTTTTGTGGGCTCTTATTATGTTTTTAGCCCCAAACAAACCGTCTATGTTACAGGGCTGCCACGTTGTGTTGTCTTCGATGCTCTCAACGGCGATGTCGCGTGTTTTATATTATACGATGTGACCGCTTTTAACGACCCCAGAAGATACAGAACTGGCCCTAACCACAAATACCCCACCCCACAGTGCAGCCTATGTCCCACGTAAGTGTGCAGCCTACGTTCCGTGGTTACAATGTCAACGCCGACAGTTGAAGTAAATTCATGTCGTACTTAAAGTCCTAGAAAGTTATAATATAGGCAAAGTCACCGGCTTCCCAACAAAGAGTAAAACACGACGTGTAGCTGTGAAGCGCAATATAGTAAGCGTAAAGACAACACAACCTGACACCACTGTAACATAGATTAGCGCGTGTGAAAGTTCACGAAGCATGAATGAAAGGCGAATCACAGTTTATTTGGGGCGAAAAAAGGAAAAAGTTCCATATGGCGACTTATACTGTTTCTCTGTAGTAATACACCTGACAAGATAAACAGTGAAATATGCCAGACAATATATCTGTTGTGTATCTTCATTATTATTACTGATATTCTTTACGACTTAGTCATCCTAAACATGAATGAGATTAATTGAGCTTCAGTGAAACTGCAACAATGTAAACATTTTAGGGCACACGAAGTCTTAGCCAGCTGTAAAACAATTCTGATCAAAATCGACAAATTAATGAGGTTGTGGCGTCAAGCCTTCATCAGCAGACAATAAGAAACCAGACATAGAACAAAGAAGGAATCGGCAGTGAAATTACATTGTTGAATAACACAATAAGGCAAATTGGGAAATACAGATAAGCAGGCGGAATAAAATGAAAAGTTGTTGGACAACACTGCCATTTGGGAGCCATAGTAACGTAGCGGCTATGTGGCCTAAAGGTCATAGGTTCCAATCCGCATTTAATTCTTTTTTTTTTTTTTAAACAAAAGCCTTGTCTCCAAGGTCGAACCAGCCAAAAATAGATACCAGGTGAAGTAAAAGCTCCCGGTCTGGTGTTGTCTAGTCACCTCTCGGGGCAGACTGGTCTAGAAAACATGAGTCTTGCATCATATGTCTGATACAACATTGTGGTGAATCCTGTCCTTTTTTGTTTGTTTACTTTAACAGCCACTTGGAATAATTGTTGAGGCTTGTGACTTCTCCTGAACACCCCAACACTTCACATAAGATTGGACGACCACGATGTGCACCTATACTCAGCCTTGTGGACCCTTTCAGTTGCCCCTTTCCCAATAAACAGTTCTTCATTTTTAACCGCGACTAAATTGCCTTCAAAGGTATTTAATACACAGATAACTGACCACTGTGTGAGGCAGATTTCTTTATTATGTTTCGACCAAATGTAAAAAGTAAGAAGACACACTATCTGAGGCTTGTGACCCATGCTTGCTTTTTTATAAAAATATTTGCCTTTACTCATCCTAAAGTGTTTAAAAGGTAACAGAACTCACCAAATAGTGTTTAAAAGGTGTGGGAACTCTCCAAAAGTGTTTAAAATGGAAACATAGAAACAAATGCAGACACACACACACAAACAGACATACGCTCACATACCCAATCACACACGCAGATACACACACACAGACACACACATGCGACACACACACACAAACCGGCACATACAAAGACACACACACACAAACACAACAAAGACACACACGCGCAAACACACACAAACACACGCGCAAACACACACAGACACACATACATAGATACACACCCACAGACACACAATACAAATATCCTTACACACAGAGACGCACGTATACACAGGTATTCATGCCGAAACACATATACACACAGGCACTTACCAACACACACCCACAAACACAACAAAGACACATACACAGCCACATACACATAGAACACACAGACAGGCAAATACATTCAAGAGCAAGAGGTAGACCAAGAACAAAGTAGGAAGATAACATCAGAGAAACTCTACAGCACCACGATGTGCCTATGGTTGAAGCAGCCAGAAGAGCACGAAGCAGGACTATATTTCCCTAAACATCAATAGCCCTAAAAAAGTACAAATTGAAGAAGAAGACAGAATTGGAGTTAGTCTAAAAACATTTGGAGACCAACTCAGGAGGAGATCGGTGCTCTTATGGTCATTTCCGATGTGCGATGAAGATGCTCTTGAAAATGATAACTGATCAAACGAATAACAAACCCACAGTTATTCTTTCCGTGTCAATACTTACATTATTAATCGGCGATTTGGATTCAAACTGAGGCCACACGGAATACTTCGACTTTTCCGGGGTGATGACACTAAACTTGCCGATACGGGTGTGGTAGACACAGTTGAAAAGCACGAAGCCCAGCGCTATGCCAACAAAGAACAACCACTTTTTGTTCCATTTGATAACGGTAGACATTGTGCAAGTTTCTTCGTGCATATTTTTGTTGGCGCTAGTTGTCTTGGCAACCCATTTTCAAGATAGATCTTTGGTGAGTTAAAAACTGGAATGAAAAAAGCAAAGTATCATGATAGAAATCATTATGGTAGGAGATGCGGTGACAGGAGGTATGATAGTTAATTAGTCAGTCAGTTAACGAGCCAGTTAGCTGATAGCTAGTTACTTACTTATTAGTTAGTTAGTCACTTAGTGAGTGAGTAAGTGAGTGAGTGAGCGAGTAACTGAGCGAGTGAATGAGTGAGTGAGTGAGTGGGTGAGTGAATGAGTGAGAGAGTTAGTTAGTTAGTTAGTTAGTTAGTTAGTTAGTTAGTTAGTTAGTTAGTTAGTTAGTTAGTTAGTTAGTTAGTTAGTTAGTTAGTTAGTTAGTTAGTTAGTTAGTTAGTTAGTTAGTTAGTTAGTTAGTTAGTTAGTTAGTTAGTTAGTTAGTTAGTTAGTTAGTTAGTTAGTTAGTTAGTTAGTTAGTTAGTTCAGTATTTTTCCCCAGCGTGTGGCGACTGATAACACCACTTCTGTGTTTCCCCCAGCGTGTGGTGACTGATAACACCACTTCAGTATTTCCCCCCACCGTGTGTAGACTGATAACACTTGTGCAGCAGGGACATGACTATTTTCCCGACCAGTGCAGCAGGGACATGACTATTTTCCCGACCAGTGCAGCAGGGACACGATTACTAGTCCCAACCAATGCAGCAGGGACACGATTACTTGTCCCGACCAATGCAGCAGGGACACGATTACTTGTCCCGACCAATGCAGCAGGGACACGATTACTTGTCCTGACCAATGCAGCAGGGACACGATTACTTGTCCCGACCAATGCAGCAAGGACACGATTACTTGTCTCGACCATTGCAGCAAGGACACGATTACTTGTCCCGACCAATGCAGCAAGGACACGATTACTTGTCCCGACCAATGCAACAGGGACACGATTACTTGTCCCGACCAATGCAGCAGGAACACGATTACTTTTCCCGACCAATGCAGCAGGAACACGACTATTATGGAACCGCCGCCTCTTTAACCTGAGTCCTGGTTTTCAAACACTGTCTGGAAACTGTGTGGAAGGTAAAAGCGTCAAGCAATTGAACTGTCTATCTCAACCTATACTTGTACGCAGAAGATATAACATGAAAATAAATACTAGTAAAACTGAAGTAATATAGGTTAGCAGAATTCCTGGTCCGCTATGTATAGGGTTCAACTGTAATTGTCTGAAGCAAGTTAAAGAATTTCAATATCTAGGAAGTATATTCTCGCAGGACGGAAGAATAGATCGGGACAGAGAAACAAGGCAGTTTATTTCATTACAAACTGCAAATTTGATACTTTTTTTTTTTTTTGGTATGTTTTGGGGTCCTCTTTAGAAAACGTTTAGTACTTTTCTTTGCAACAAGAAAAAGAATGGCCAAGCTAGTCCTAATCTACCTGGAACTAAACCGCTAGCCTTTACGTCCCATGACATTTCCTGGTACCCGTTTAAGGCTAAGTCGACTCTAAAGTCCAGGCAAATGGAAAGAAATCCTCTAAGGTCTCGAACATATGCCTAACGTTACTGCTGGAGTGTATGCTAGCCACTGATCTACATCTGCTCCTTGTACACTAAAGTGCACCGTGTAAATTCAGCTGTGGGGTTGTAATGATGTTTGTTAATAAAATATAAACTCAACTTGTCATGTTTCTGACAACCATTAAATAGCATTGTCCCAGTGACTTAGTAACTATTACCACAGTTTCATAATTCCGACACACCAGATTCGATTGAGCTGTAGGCGATTTGGCAGAAGGCGGCTTGGCATTGATCTCGACATCGGTGTAACGTGAACTATACAGAAGCATGACAAAACACTGAACGTCAAATTGTCTAGTTAAACTAGTAGGAGAATTTACTGAACATAAAACTTTCTAGTAAAATAGTAGCATGACAAAACACTGAACGTTGAACTGTCCAGTTAAACTAGTAGGAGAATTTACTGAACGTAAAACTTTCTAGTAAAACAGTAGCATGACAAAACACTGCACGTCAAATTGTCTAGTTAAATTAGTAGAAGAATTTAATGAAGCAGTAAAGACATGTTCACTTGATTCGGTGTACAACCTTTGAATAGCCTCTGACAATGTCAATGGCGACAGTAGGTTGAGCCCTTGCTATGTAGTAAGTACACATACAGTATGATACTAAGAAAGCGGCGTCCGTGGCTTAGGCGTTGCGAGTCCGACTTCTAATTCCAACGTACCACGATCGAAACCCACTGCTGACTGCGTGGATTTTAATCATGGTATAGGGCGTCGCAGGTCGACCCAGTCTAAAATGGGTACCATGATGTCCTGGGGAAGTAAAAGACAGCCGGCGTAATGCTGACCACATTATCCACCTAGTGCCGATTGGTCTGTACAAATATGAATGCTCTTCCCATATGCCTGATGTGCCTAAAGGCCTGAAAAGGGATCCTTACTTTACTTTAATATACTTATAATACTAAGATTATAAACTCCCGATTGATCGTAGGGTAGTAAATAGAATGTCTAGATTCTCAAATAAAAGTGAAATTATAGGGAGAATTGAATTGGACGTCTAGATTCTCACATAAGGATGCAACTAAAGGAGGAATTAGAATCGGACGTCCAGATTGAAACTGAAATTATAGGGAAATTTGAATCGGCCACCTAGATTCTCATATAAGAGTAAAACTACAGGTGGAATTAAATCGACGTCTAGCTTCTCACATAAGTGTGAAACTATCACAAGAATTGAAACGGGCGTCTAAATTCTTACAAAAGGATGAGATTATAGGGAGAATTGAATCGGACGTCTAGATTCTCGCATAAGGGAGCAATTTAAGGAAGAATTAAATCGGACTTCTAGATTCTCACATAAGAGTGAAACTACAGGAAGAATTGAATCGGACGTCTAGATTCTCACATGAGGGTGAAATTATATGGAGACTGAATCGAACGTCTAGATTCTCACATGAGGGTGAAATTATATGGAGACTGAATCGAACGTCTAGATTCTCACATGAGGGTGAAATTATATGGAGACTGAATCGAACGTCTAGATTCTCACATGAGGGTGAAATTATATGGAGACTGAATCGAACGTCTAGATTCTCACATGAGGGTGAAATTATATGGAGACTGAATCGAACGTCTAGATTCTCATATACGGGTGAAACTAAGTGCGCTGAGAACTGCAAATTTGGGAATCATGCTTTTTTTTAAGGTCCCTTTTATACGCCTTTAGGGGTATAGGGTATATAAGGCTAGATCTATATATTAAGACCAATCGGCACAAGATAGGTGATGTGGCAGCACCACGCCGGCCGCCTTTACTTCCCGGGACTGCACCCGGTACCCACTTAAGGCTGGGTCGACCTGGGAGCCAAGGTCATTTTTGAAAAAAGTCCGGCCCTGCCAGGGAGCGAACCTTCCTATCTGCGGCGAGCGTCTAATCGCTCTGCCACAGCGACTCCCATGGGAATCATTCGGATATTTGAGTCAAGGTAAGCGGTGGCTGTATCGTATTATACTTTAGGTGCTTGCCCTAGAGCAGGTACCGGAGGTCACGAGCGCCCAGTCTTTTCTTTCATCTAACACTTGAACACAGATTGTTGCTTATTTTTCACATATAACCGGGCAATTGTCAAATTAGAAAACCTACTCACTACATAATATTTATAGCACGTGATATTCTAATATACAGTTTGTGTCATCATTTGCGCCAGTTCGTGTGGGATACAAACTTACTTGTGTAACTTGCACGTAAACTCAACACACTCGTTGAACTATCCTATGAAATGAAGGCATCCCTCTGGATTAGAGCAATTGATCAACCAACCTCCCCCTCCCCATTCCCACTTTTTCAACAACAAAACCGCTGTACAACGAATAACTGTTGGCAGCCATAAATCAACAAATAACGTGGCCAAAATGATAATCCTGTTTCTAAAGTTGCCCCAGATATCGTCTAATTCTGTCTCTATACGTATGCCTGTATATAGAAATAGCATTGATTTAAAAGTACCTTTACGTTGCAACAGTCTTTATTTTTCACACACACACACTCACAAACACACTCACACAAACACGCTCTCACACAAACACACACACACACACTCATTCTCAAACACACACAAACACACACACTCACATAAACACATAAAATCGGTATTGTATTCACGTGGCTAATCGTACAAGTATCGATATCAGAGGTCAGATTTCCTGCACTGTTACTTATGCACAGCCTAACGGTCAAATACCTGATAGATTTCCATCCACTATCATCATCATGATGCATCAGGCCCTTGGCAGATCTCCGCTCCTGACAGACACGTCTTAACCCCATTGACATTCCCGAGATATTACATGGCCAACAAGTTTCCGAAGTCATGCGTCCATTTTGGTGTTGCCTTCTCCAAGGAGCGTGGTTTTCATTACTGCACTTTCTAAGAGACTGCTTACTAAAGTGTACTAGCTTGCCAGACAGGTCGCTGCTGGCCAGATACAGTCACACCTCGTTAACACGAACCCAAGCAACCCGACACGTCTAGAGTTCGTGTTAAAACATTTTGGCTAAACGGTGACTAATAGATTAAGATGAATAATACATCTCTGCTAGGAGCAATATTTCATTCATGGTAACCGAGTGTTCATCTTAAGCGAGGTCGTCCTAACAAGGTGTTCTTGTCGTTTAGAGGCCCCCGCCCCCTCCCCCCCCCCCAACACATTCACACACACACACACACACACACACAAATATAAATATATATTAAAGCAGCGATTTCATTTTTTTTAGAGATTTAGTTCTTTTTGTGGACATTTGTTTTCTTATAAGTTCGGAAACAAACAAAGGTTGAGCTTCACACTTTCTCTTGACAAGCAGAATAAACTGTTGTAAACCATGTGCACAATTTCTGGTGCCATGGCAATTCCAGGGATTAGTAATACGGTAGTTCATCCTTAAATCACCTACAGCAAAA